GTGAGACTACAAACACTCTTTTCTCGGTCAAATAGGCACCAAATTCAAAATTTATGTTACATTTCGACTACATATATAACCCACTTTCAATAAAGATTAATGTTTCCACGGGTGAAATGCTTCTTTAATGCACGTGTCTGATAAGAGTCGATGTGATAATATTCAGTAAAAGTGGTAGCGCCACCTTGTGGTAACCAGAAATATAATTTATTACACTTTTATGTATTTCTCCCAGCAGATTGACCACATCCAGCTGAAAATATGGTCAGAAGACCCTTAGACGGTTGACAATGACATCTTATGTTTTTTTTTTTAAACCGTGTTGCCGTAGCGACGCAGCGAATATCACCTTGTCGTTTTAACATTTGATCGCATTTTGTGGGGGCTAAACAGGCTCAACACCTCATGAAACATCCTACATGGCAGCATTTTACATTTCATATGGATGTTGCCTGTGGGTGTGTCAAAATGGCTCGATAGCGCCCCCTACAAACTTTCAAAAAAACAGCCCTGGCATCCTGTTTAACTGGCATATATGAAAATTGGGTGGAACATGTATTACGTCAGGATGTTCAAAAAAGCCTCTTAGAGCCATATCCTAAACAAAACAGGAAGTCGGCCATAATTAAATTAATGTCAATTTCTGGCACCATTTGCGGCAATTTCAGGGCTTCCATGTTGAACAAACTCCTAGTGAATTGATCAAAACAACTTCAAAATTGGTGACTACAATCCAAAGAAGTTCAGGATGTTATGTTATTAAAATCTTTACATTTGGTCAAACGGTGTGTCCGTGGCGTTCCTTCAAAAATTAGCCTTGACATGACAATGGAAACCTAACTGCAGTACAGATTCTCCATTTGGACCCAAACTTCATAAGTTTGTTCAGTGCCAATGTTCAGTCGCTGTCATAGCCGAAGCTCGGTGTTGTCATGATATACTGGTGAGTGACCCGACAGCATCACACCCCGACGTGCACCAAGTGCGAGGGCCGATCATCACTGCTTGCAGCTTTAATTATTATTAAGGGTGATGATTGCTTAGAGCAGCGACAGAGAACTTTGTCCACATTATCCTAATATTGCTTTGGCATTTCCCCTCAGTTACAGTTCCAAGATACAGACACACCCAAACCTGGACCAAACATGACAGAGAGCGATGGAGAGACTGTAAAGCTGTGTTTCCATGGTAACAGCAGCAGACTCCAGCAGCTCGAACACAGCCACTCACCAGGGACAGAAATCTGATGTGATCCACAATGATAGTAAAAGGGAAGCAGAAGAATAACGCACCAGCAGAATACTAAAACAAAGCCTGATGTAGTCATTAAATAACGATGTGTGTTTGTTGTGGGTGTTTATCAGGGGGAGGGAATTACAACACAGCTGGGTACTGAGACTCACTGGAAAGTATCTGTCTGATAAGACTGATTGACTTTTTGATCAGATTTGCAATATATATATATATATATTTTTTTTTTTATTTTATTATGTTTTTTGAGAAAGTTCTTGTCTGGCTGCTCGTATCAACAGTTTCAACTTTGGCTGCTTTTGTTTAATGACTTTTTTTCAATTTTGGTACAAATACAAATGTTCATATTGTGTGAAGTAAATGAAGTCTGCAGCATCACATGAGTCATCTAATGTCCAAAGAGGGCTAAAACAAATTTATTTATCATTATTTTGACAGATATTGAGATATGGTAATGATTAGTGGTTATTTTCATTTCATTTTTACTGAAAAAACTATTAAAATCATGATGATATGACATTTGTTTGTACCCCATCTAGAGAATTTGTAGGTCTGGGAATCTCTGCAGAACCTAATTATTATGTCATTTGTTACATTTGACCTTTATCAAAGAACTGCTGCTTCTGTGATTTCGATTTTGCACTTTGTCATATTGCGATTTCGATAATATTTTGATTAATTCTGTCTGTAGCACACATTGTAGGTGCCATACAGACAGAAGTAGAAGTGCAGGTAAAGCTGCAAGGATATGATAAATATTGCTATAAAATGTCTGGTTTCTGAAACCCACACTGTCGGGATGTAGGCTTACACAGAAAACAATGGATGCAGGGTATCGTTTTGGTATAGGTGCTGATATTTCAAATGGTAGGCAGCCTTGATGAAGAGAAGCACGAGATTCAACAAACCTTCTGGTGATACCACTGACATTTGCATCAAGCTGGCAAATCATTTTACCACTTATGAAACCCGACTAGGCGACAGCAGAGACCTCAATTCTTCATCCCTGATCATCAAAGATTACATTGGATAGATGATGAGGAGGTTAAGGGTCAATATCCAGACACTAACACAGTCCGGTAACCACATAGAGAAGAGAAGCAGGTGAAAAGGTACTCTATGTCTACATTTGAAAATACAGTTCTAGCCAGGACTCACCAGTGCTGGGGTACTTGGCTCCGCTGGACCGGGTACGGGTCAGGGGTTGCTTCCCCAGAGCTCCACCCCCTTTGGTAGCTGCCTGCCGGGCGTCGCCAACAGAAGTCTTCCTAGTGGTGACAACAGACTCAGAGTTCCGATTAGATAAACCAGGCCGGCCCGTGGAGGATGTCTCATTGTCGCTGGGAGCTGTGAAGGAGCCGGTTCTCTTTCTGGGCATCGCTAAGATGTCAAGCCTGGACAGCTTCTTCCCCTCAGCAGACACTTTGGATGGTGCAGGGATATGGTCTGAGTTCTGGGAACCCCGATCAGTCTCAGCACCTTCATTATCTGAGGCCTCGCCCAGGCGTGCACGTCGAAGCATGGACGCCCGGGTTGGCCGTGGTGCTGACAGGCTATTGGAACGTGTCAGAACCTGCTGAGCTGCTGTCTTGGCCGTCTTTCCATTATCTTCTTTCTGAAGAGGGGCGATGACTTTCTTGCTACGGCTGGACGGACGGGAAATTTCATGGTCAGATGATGTTGTTTCGGTCCACTGTGGACCAGAACCCTGCTGTCCCTCGGACAGATCCAGAGATCCACGATTGCCCGCACTGCGGCGCATCTGGAAGCGCTTTGTTGCTTCTGCCTTGCTGGAGGCATCTGTTGTCACCTGGTTGCGGCGTTTCTCAGAAAGCCGTTCACGGGCGGTTAGTTGCCGTCCCTTCTCTTGGATAGATGGGCTGGAAGAGGACTTCTCCTTCTGAAGGCTGCTGATGGCGGGACGCTTTTTAGAAGAAGAGCTGACCGGAGTGTTTTTGCTACTCACCTGGCTTACGGTGCTTGCTGTGTCCACATCCGACTCACCAGAAAGGGAGTCATCCATGTGCGTGGAGGAGCCTCCTTTCTTTGAACTACGACCGGAGCCAGATGATGGGAACTTGGTGTCCAGAGAGGACAGAGTCCCCTCTGCCTCCTGAAGGAAGGACTGCGTGTCCTGGATGTTCTCCCTCCTCTGCTCCATATCTCTGAGGGATGGGTGGCTGGAGATGTGGGGAAGCTTCTTCATCTGGACAGTGTCGCTTGGCCGGTCTTTGGTGAAGCTCTCCTGCCGGACGATGGATGACATGCAGCTGTCTTTAGTGGGGACAGAATCCTTGTCCTGCATTTGGAGGTTTGGAGCAGAGCTATTGGGTTTGACACCTGTCCTCCTGGGTTCGTGTCCACTCAGGTGTCGGATCAGGACGGTGGTAGGGGGAGTTTTTGCTGGGGGGTCGTGTATCCTCTCAGACTGTACCAGGCTCCGGGCCTGGTCAGGTTTGCCTGGACTGTCTTCAGAACCAATATAGAAGGAGGTGGATTTGGTGGAGGGAGACACTTTCTCTGGACCCTTGAACTGAGGACCAGCATCCCCAGGAGACACAGATACAGTCCTGGCCTGATTCTTCTTTGTTTTCTCCAGAACTGGTCCGTCATCTGAGCGGCTGGCGTCACTCAGACTGTCTGGGTCCACATCATCCTGAACGGACAGGCACTGGGTGGAGTCCTGTGGGCGGGGAGGACCAGAGACTCTGTCCAGAGATTCCTGACCCTGGTAAGGTTCATGGCGAATCAGGATACTCGGGGGAATGCTATCCAGCTTTTCTGGAGGCACCTGGGGCAGAAGCCTTCTTGTCCTGGAGCTGTGGCTGGACTCTGACTCAGAGTTATCATAGCTGTAATTCACCATTGCCCGGCTCATGAAGCGTAGATCTACAAAAACGATTTAAATTCTCAGTTTTCACATAAAAACCCTTTACACCTAAAAATAAAGGACTATTAGAGTCCTCATGACACTGACCATGTGAGTCAATATCAGAATTTCTTCCAGCATTTCCCTTTCAGTACTTCCTCACTGCTTTGAACACAAACTGGATGTTACTTTCGTTATGTGATCTGTATCAGGAACAACTCGTTAATTTAGGTGCAAACTGGCATTAGCCAGTGGTCTGATCCCAACGCAGGTCCGTGCAAGAATAATCCAGATAATATTTTTAGGTACAGAGGTAGGTTAATACAGTGGTTCTCAACCTGTTTTGTTAAGCTCGATTCAGCTCGTCAAATCACCAGGGGCTGGTTTTAGAACGTAAGGCATGTCACCCATTTCAACAGCCAATCAGGCTGTAGCAAAGTCAGCTGGTCAAGTCTGTTGCCAAGTGTCATAATGAAATGGGTTAGAAAAGCTGGCAGTAAGAATGAAAGTACAAAGAGTTATTGGTTGGTATGGAGATTATACACTGTCTTGTCTAGTTGTATTGGTGTGAACTAGCAGGCTTTCAGAAGATTGCGGACCGGCGTGTTTCAAGTAGCTGCTAGTTTGAACTTGTTCTTCGGTGTGAACTGGGCTTTAGATGACAGCCCCAGCCAACTCATCAACAACACCATTTATGGTCCAAATTTGTTGATTTGAATGAATTTCTATGAATCAAACATAAATCACTAATCATACTAAAGATGATATAATAATGGGTGTATATATTTTCATACATTGGAACTGTCAATGTTTAGTTTGGTTTGATCAAGTTTGCATTTGTACTAGAACCATATTTTTACCTGACTATTTTATCTCCTCTCCTGCTTGCTAACTAGTTTTCAGTTCCATTCAGATTCCATTCAATTCAATTCAATTTAATTCTAAGTGGCTTTACTGGCATGGGAAACAGATATTCCATTGCCAAAGCAAATGTAAAATATATGTATAGGGTTAGGTTTTTAAATCATTAATTCATTCATTTAATTTTTTTAATAAGTTGAGCTACTCTACAATCTCTCCATGTACCCTCCTTGGTAACCCCTGGGGTGCCATACAAGTACCCCTTGTTGGGAATCACTGGGTTAATGCAAGGTGGAAATGCAGTAAGACACTGTGTGCGCTTGATAACGAGCTCTGTAAGTTTATATCATTCTCTGAAAAACTGCACAGACTGTTTATAAGTTTATCAGCACCTTCCAGACATTCCCCTTGAGGTGGAGTGGAACCAGGATCAGCATAGCTGTCTGCCAGACTGGCCCAACGGGAAACCCATTTTGGTCCCTCCAGACCTGCTGCATGAGCAGGTGGAACCTAGACATCAAAACAACATGATGAACAACATTAGCAGACAACAGAAATGTGGTACCAAAGAGTCCAACAAGGCTTGACAGAGTAAGTATGTAACAGGAAAAACTGAGGGAGTAACAGCATTAGTCTGCATGCACTGGGATTAGAACATGCCACACAGGTTCAGTGTTTTTTACCTGTATGGGGCCTGTTGGGGGGCCGCTGATAGCAGCTGGGATAAAGCCATGCAACGAGTCCATAGTGCTACCATCGCTAGGAAGGTTAGCTTGCTCATCCTTGCCATCATTTATTACAGGTCTATACACTCCTGTGTTCACACCACTGTACTCTGGAGAGTCGAGGACACCAAACACCTGTCAGAGCACAGGGCATGCATGAGGAGGGGGGGCAGGATCATGGCAACAAGAAGGAGCAAGAAGGACAAGAGGTTTCATGCATCCCTATAGCTGCCTATTCAAACATGAAAATAATTCAAATTTTCAGATACGTATAACGCTGACATTGAAAGGCAAGGATCCCCTACTTTTTGTTTATATAGGCAAATCTATTGTAGACTTTTAACTTGTAGACTTTTTTTTTAACTAGTTGAGGGCCACACCCACAACAACAATGGCTTCAACTTTAGTAAATAAACCATGTCTTTTCTGTTGTCACTCTCAGTGCAGAGCAACCTCCTGCAGTTTATTCGCCATGTGCAGTAATTCTTGAGTATTTATTTTGGTAACGGTTCCACTAACCACAGTAGTTTTTCAGGGAGTTGTTGCACTCTTGGGGGCCAGTCACACAGAGATGCATCACTCCAGGTGCAGCCACTTCAAAAACGTATTGGCAAAGTGCGTTGCTAAAAAGCCTGTGGAGCAAGGCAGCATCCGCAACCGGGCGGTCAGATAAAAATGAACAGAAAAAATGTATTGATGCAGACGTCAAGCTCTAGATGAGTAAACTCTGGCAATGGAAACAACGGTTCTGCGGATGACATGTTTCTTTTTTTTTTTTTCAAAGATATTTTTACAGATGACATGTTTCTAGCAGTGTATCTCTGTGTGATTGGCCCCCAAGTAAAGGTCTTCTCTACCCACCAACTGGTCAGAACTGTAAAGGGATTTGTTTACATGAGCAGTTTGAACCATGAATGCTGCGTCACACTGGGTCTAACTTTATAGACACTGTGAGTTCACCTGGTCGATCATGTTACGAGCCTCTTCCACCTCTTTGTCCTGGGACTCTGTCTCAATGGTGTAGGTCCCAGCATCACTCAGGCTGTCGTCTTCCTCGTTCCTCATCATCCTCTGGGAGCATTTGGGGTCTGCTGCACGGATGCCCTGGGGCAGCATGGGGGACAAGGGAGGCCCAGAGGAGTGGACTGGAGATGCAGTCTGGGCAGCAGGATTGGTGGGGACTGACGACTTTGACATTGCTGGAGGCTGTAAGGGGGAGGTGGGGTAGGAGACTGAGGAAGGTGCTGTAGGTTCCTGGGGGGAGGGAATTCTGGCTTGAGGAGGCGACACCATCACCGGTGGTGCAGACATTGGGGGCGGGGATGACTTGTCACTCGTGGGGGATGAATCCTGTTGACCAGAATCCTTCAGGAATTCAGCGGCAAACTCCTGGGCAAGCTTGGACTTCTTCCCGACACTGCCGAAGGGTCTGATGATAATACCAGAGGAAGAGCGAGAGGAGGAACCAGAGGAGGCCACCTCCCCCTCTGTCTTCTCCCTCTTCAGAGAGCTTGACCTCTGGGGGCCGCCGTGGCCCTGACCTTTCAGAGGAACCGTCACCTGCTGGGTGGGGGGGATGTGGCCATGCACAGATGCAGGCCTCTCGCCACCTTTCCGCCGCTCCAGCTTGGCCTTCAGGGCAGAGTATGAGTCAGCGTGGGCGGGGTTGTGCGTGAACGACTGCGAGCGTTTTTTGCGCGGGTTGTCATCGAAGAACTCAATGATAAAGGCCTGCTGGGTGAGGTGCTCAGGGGGGGGCTGCTTGGACGTTTCTGTGGTGGGGGAATGAGTTTGAGGAGGACTCTGGGACAGGGGCCGCTCTGGGGCTCCAGGTGAGGCTGGGGCCGGTGTGGGTGGAGAGTGCTGCAGTGGCTGGTGGAGTGTCTCTGTTGGAGCAGGTAGCTGGCAGTGGACAGACTGAGCTGACTGAACGGTCTGCTGTGAGGCCTCAGACTGCTCTGATTGGATGGAGTGCTGAGACTGGACAGAGTGGTGGGATTTACTCCTCCTTCCTTTGAGAACTGGGTCCTCAGAGTCGCTCTGGGTTCCATCCTCATGATGGTGACCTGACAACAACAATAAAAACATCAAATCTCTCTATGTTACTCAATATGAACCTTGGAGTTGAATTCTCTTTATTTGACACATCCTAAGTACTAGGAGCAGTGGTCCACCACTGTGTAACTCCCGGGAACCAACTCCAGACCGGAGCCAGTGCTTTGGTCAAGGGTACTGACTTCAGAATTACATACATGTGTTAATGTTGGGGGGAAATGGAACACCCAGAGGAAACCCATGCAAACACAAGGAAAACATGCAAACTCCGCACAGAAAGGTAACAGCGGTATTCTCCTATAATGTTTCTGACCTTTGAGGGTCTTGATGTTCATGGCGAGGTCACTCTTGGTGCTGTAAACATCTTCACATGTTGGACGTCTTCTCATCATGCTGACATCACTGTGGACCAGCCAATCAGCCACCTTGCTCTCTGCTGACATCACCTCAGCAGGCGTGGCTGTTGCAATGGGGGTCTTGGTGGGCGGAGCCTGCTGCTTCCTCTGGCGGGTAGAGAACTTGGTGACGTGGTCTTTGATTTTGATCTTGCCGGGCATGCAATCGTCGAACTCAATGGTGAAGGAAGCGTGGCTCTGAACCACGGGTGGAGTCTGGGTTGGAGGGGAGGGCGGTGCCGGGGGCGTGTCCGTGTCCTTGGTGGGGATCTCATGAAGCTCCGCCCCTGAGGTTTTGGGGTGCTGGAAGTCCTTGGTAGGGATCTCAAAGTAGCTTGGCTCGCGGTGGTACGAAGGGAAGATGGTCTTTTGTTGGGGGTCTGACAGAGATCCAGAAAAGTCTGGATCTACGGATGAAGGGTCTTTCTGGGCTTCTGATGTGATGAAAAACAGAGACGTTACCAAAGACAAAAATGTAATAATAATATTTATTACTAGAGGTACTTCTACTACTTTTGTGTACCCCAAGGCTCAAGATATAAATTATAAAGTCATAGATGACAATAAATGCTTCACTAATACTGATATCATTAGTATATTTAGTCAAATTAAGAGAATTTATTGAATTTTATTAAAACAGCACAATTAATCAATCATCAATTAACTTCGTAAGTCCGCCCCTTTTTGCTCTGTGTTCCAATAACAGTTGAGCAAGCCTTGGTCAGAACCTCAGTCAACTTCCTCCTTTCTTGTGCTTAAATATGCTATGTGCTAAGCTAACATTTTGAAGATGGTTAAAAGATATGAGACATAGTTCCATCGTAAGTTAGTTAATGTTAGCTTGCTAATTAGCTTTTGTTTTGCTAACACTAGCCATCAGATGTAACTAGCCAGCTAACAATTAATGTAGATTAGCTAGCTACAGAGCAATTTTCATTGTGCATCCATGACGCTTTCTTATGTCCTGTTCCTATGGGCCTGTACGGCCCATAGGAAAAAAAACTCCTGGAAGAGTGATAACATTTTTACCTGCATGATGGTCATCGCTGGTATGAACTTTACTCCCATAATCTTCCTCTCCCCACCAGGAAGGCTGACCATACAGAGGAGTGGGCCGACACACCGGAGCCTCTGTGACTGACACACACACACACACACACAGACACACACACACACACACACACACGTTTCATATTAGATTCAAATTCAGCTATGGTAGCTTAGTGGAAGTGACAACGCAGAGTTACTCCCACATTTGTATTGGCTCTGGTTTTCAGAAGGGTTGGTACATCTGGTTTCATCCAGTGGCTGTGAGGAAATCAGGAAGGCTGCGATCACAGGGATATTTGATATCAGTTTAACTTCTTTACTACAGTACGCTGATAACAGTCAGATAATCTGATTACAGTCTAATAACAGTC